TTTTTTTTTTAAACCGCCCCCCCCCCCCAAAAAGTCATACCAGACACTTAAGGTCTGGTAGGAATTTTAAGGTGGAACCTCCACCCCCAAAAATGGGAAAAAAACGTGGGGTCCCCCCTGAAATTCCATACCAGACCCTTGATCAGGGCATAGGCCTGGCAGTGCCAGAAAGGGGGGTGGACGAGCGAGTGCCCCCTCCCTCCCTCCCATACCAGGCCACATGCCCTCGGCACTAGGAGGGTCGTCCCTGGAAAAGCACCTTGTCCCCGTGCCGATGGGGACAAGGGCCTCTTCCCCACAAGCCCTGTGGCGTCGGTTGTGGGGGTGCAGGCAGGGGGGCTTATTCACATGAGGGTACCCCTTTAATAAAGAGGCACCCAGATGCCGCCTCCCCCTTGTAAATGAGTAAGGGGTACTTGTACCCCCACCCATTCACTGAAGGGTTAAATAAAATTGTAAATAAAAACTTTTGAAAAAATTATTTTTGGAAAAAAAACAAAAAGACAAAAATTGATCCAGCAACGTAATCCAGCGTCAATCACGACGTCCAGCGTTGTCCATGACGATTTGACGACTTGACGAAATAAAGAATAAAACAATAAATAGAAATAATAATTTTAAAAAACTTGACGAGCGTCGCCCCGTCCTCTCCCCGTGGACTCCCACGGCAGAAAGGCATTTTGACAGATGCCGGTAACATATAAACATTTGGGCGGAGCTAGCAGTGACAGCTAGTTACGCCCAACTGTTTACAGTTGGGAGAGGGTGAGCCATGATTGGGCAGACTCATCATGACTTCGCCCAATCATGGCTCTCACTGTTCTCTGTGCCCTGATTGGGCAAAGTCTTGCTGCTGACCTGTGGTCCGGTGCAAGGCGTTAGCCAATCAGGGCTCACAAGGCACAGTGCCTTGTGCGGGGTGCGCGGCGGGAGAATAGCCCGTCGAATACCCTGACAGTTCGTGTGTTCCCCCGAACATTGAGCCCAACCCTTCTCAAGTTTCCTGCTCCTTTTGGCTGGAAGGACACAATTTCCAACAGAGACCCACCACACCCTTGTGGAAAGCCTTCAGAGAAGGCCGGAGGTTGCCATAGCTGCAAACGAGGCAAACACCATATTCATGGCCATGGTTTTGGAATGGGATGCTCAAAAAGCTCACATGGGCGTGATGGTCCGGTGTTCACAAACTTCTGGCCATGCAGAATATATTATTATAAGGATGAGAATTGTCTCCCCAAATTTGAACAAACTTGTTTTGCAGGTTTTCGGCAAGTATTTCCTGAGTGTTTCCAGAGCCCCAGAAAGTACTAAAATGTATTCAGGCTCCCAAACCTGTAAATGAGTACCTACTAGTACCTGCTATGCCTCTTTTCTTTTTAGGGAGGGGGGTTGTGCGGTGGCATCACAAGGGGGGTGCGGCCCGAACCCGGGTGACACCATTGGAGGGATTGGACACCAAAATGACTGACAGTCATTTTGGTGTCACCCCGCCTCAAAAGTCAGACACTCGGTTATGGACCGAGAGCCTGACAGTTGCAGGAGAGAGGAGAGGACCCGGCGGCATACCTTATCCCACCAGGTGACTGTCCCCTCCTCTCTCTGCTGGAGTCCATCACCAAGATGGCCGCCGGCAGGTATCAAATGATGACTGCGCATGCATGATGACTTCATCACGGGCGTGGTGAAGTCACACGCATGCGAGATGACGCCATGGCGGGGTGTCACTCGGTATCCGCTCCGGGGGACACCCGGCCTCGGAAACACCCCTGGGGTCGCGGACATTAGAAATGAATGTATTTGGTTACACTGAGTGAAAATGGTTAAAACTGAACGCAAGCCGCACCTTTTCTTTCTACACACTTGCAGCAAATCCTCTCCCGTGTTAAAACTGATTATCTCAACTTCCTGGAAATTTGCATCTCCACAAATTTGCAACTGAATATGCAAAAGCCGCCCTGAGCCCACCTTCGTTTCCTGTCTGAACGGCTTCAATCATCGTCAATGACCTCTCCTCCTGATCTGTAGTGTTTGTTGGCCTGCCCCTCACAGCTATTGGCTTTCTCTGCGTTCATTATATATGAAAGAATACATCCTCAGCACTTGTGTGTTCAATGGATGGTGCAGACTTTAGCTGTACAATCTGCTGATCAGTTGCTGGATTACAAATTTAGCAGCTGGTCAGCAGATTGCACAGCTAAAGTCTGTACTACCCAGTTGCCAGCAAGGAAGAACATCCATATCTAAAGGGATGCTGGGGTGTTCTTTTGTATAACGCTCGGCCGCTTGAAAGAGGATTCAAGGAAAGGTTCTGCAATGTTTACAGGAGCCTGCCAGCCCCTCCCACTCAACCTAAAGTGACATTAAACCCTGCGATTTTTTAACATAAACCAATACTGTAATGTGCGCCTTACTGTAATCCATGGTTGTTTCCCTTCTCTTTGCTGCTCTTCCTTTTAAATCCTCATGTCTTCTCATGCTTGGTGAGAACTTCCCTTTTCAGCTCAGTGCCTCTTCCTGTAGTGCTGGCTCAGGTTACAAGCCTATACAAACCTATACACAGACACCGTGTATCCATTCCAGAGACAAGGCAGTCTGCTGCAAAACAGAAGTTCTCCCCTAGCATGAGAAGAGATACAGATTTAAAAGGAAGAGCAGCAAAGAGAAGGGAAACTACCATGGATCACAGTAAGGCGCACATTACAGTATTGTTTTATGTTAAAAAATCTGAGGGTTTAATGTCACTTTAAAGACCAGCAGACAGACCCAATGATGACATCACTGAGTCTCAGAAGAGGTATTTCTTGAAAACAAAATTGGCTAAGATCAAGTGTAGTATCTGTTCTTATCAGTTTTCAGAGAGGAAC